AGCCGTTTCTGGAAATGGTCACAAATAACTTCTGAACCTTCACTGCTTGACACGCTTGGAGCCTTGGAGTCCATGTGGTGTCTGTCTAGCCCAGCGGTTCTCAACCTGTGGGTCGCAACCCCTGTGGGGGTCGAACGCCCCTTTCACAGGGGTCACTTAAGACCATCGGAAAACACATATATAATTACATATTGTTTTTGTGATTAATCACTATGCTTTAATTATGTTCAATTTGTAACAATGAAAATACATCCTGCCTATCAGATATTTACATGACAATTCATAACAGTAGCAACATTACAGTTATGAAGTAGCAACGAAAATAATTTTACGGTTGGGGGTCACTACAACATGAGTAACTGTACTAAAGGGTCACGGCATCAGGAAGGTTGAGAACCACCGGTCTAGCCAGTGAAAGGCCCTTGGGTCCCCCTCAGAACGCACGTGGGATCTACTCTGCCCAGCATCTTGGTTGAAGCTTGGACGTAGCATCCATAACATCCGCTTCCTGAGCGCCAACCCTCCCCTCAGCCCTGCAAGGTTCCCTCCAGTGTTTATTCCTCATTCATTCAGTCATGCCTTTGCCCAACACATCTTTGAGGGCTTATTAGGTGTTCCAGAGGCTGGAGATAAATTGGTGAGCAACCCCAAAAATGGGAAAACCCTAATATCCCCGATAGCAAGTATGTTACCTGAATTCCAGTGACTGCATACCATGGAAATCCAGGTGGCCAGCTAACATCACGCAAGAGTAACACCATGGAGAACGTGTATGATGCGTTGCATTGGAAAAGTCCCTTTATAAAGCAGCATGTATAGAACACTATACAGAGTAGCTCAACCTCAGTCAGCTGTCCACCTTCGCTGCAGTCAGCTGTGGTCACCGGGTATAAATCCAGCTACCCAGGAATTAAAGAGTGGGGAGAGGGCCTTCCAAAAACGGGGTGTGGGCTGACCGGTACATAAACAGGTCCACCCCAACCCCAACATTACCCCTCATGGCAGGTAACGCTCAAGAAAAGGTAACTAACAACCCAAGGGCTTCTGGAGACAAAGAGAATTTCCCACGGTCCTCTGTGGGAGGAGGTGCCCGCTAGTCTGCTTTCTAACTCCCCCTCCCCAGCGAAAGAAGGTCCTTGTAATCACTCTCATTCCTAAGGGGGATGAGAAGCCCCAAACCATCACCTAAGAAGAGCTTGACCTCCGGTTTCCACCCTGTGCTTCCGTGTCCCTGTGCAGGAGATGATGGACATCGTCAAGGCCATCTATGACATGATGGGGAAATACACGTACCCCGTGCTCAGGGAGGACACCCCCAGACAGCACGTGGACGTCTTCTTCCAGGTAAGTGTACACACCTGGGCGAGAGCGCGAGCTCAGCTGAGACCCGTCAGCGCACAGCATCTGAGCAGTGGCTGGTGTCCAACCCTGTCCCGCACGCTGTAGGGAACAGAAAGAATTATAAGGGATTGCTCTCTGGGAATGGGTGATCTCGTTAAGCAGGCGAGCAGACCCTACAGAAGAACACAGGGAAGTATACATGGGATCGTGCACCCTCTCGGTTCCATAAGATTCTTGGGGGTTCCGAGTCCACAGGGAAGACGTCATTAGCACATGTGTGCAGGTGGTAAGCACATGTGTGCAGGTGGTGAGCACAGGTGTCTAGAGAGCGAGGGAAATGGGCTTGGGAACTGTGGTGAATGGACTGTGAGGTCTTCAGGTGGAAGACTTGATCCTTGTTAATCCGTGAGTAGAAGGATGGCTAGGTCCCCGTGGCATTTTAGTAAAAAGCGCACCTAGTGGTAGAGTATCAGAGAACGCCAGTCACACTAGTAGGATCCTCTCACTTGGCAGATGGGAACAGCAGGCTCACAAAGGCTGAGAGACTCCCTCAGGGTCACAGAGTGATAGCGACAGTTGACAGGAGTAGAGCTCTCATGTCCAGGCTGGACGATCACAGGAGACACGTGAGGGTGTCAGCAGGCGGGGCCGGTGATGAAGTGATGAGAGTCCGGAGCGTGTCAGGTGCTCTCCCCAGGGCCCGGTGGAGTTCTCCGGCCAGTGACAAACCACCCTCCTTCTCGGGGCAGCGTTGGTGAGTAAAGGGCAGCTTTTGAATGCAGAATGCCAAGTTCTTTCAAGTGCTTCCTCTCGTGTCTTTCAGAAAATGGACAAAAATAAAGACGGGATCGTGACATTAGATGAATTTCTCGAATCCTGTCAGGAGGTGAGGAGAGATCTCAGGCCACGTCTCTAAATCGGGGAAGGAAAGTCGGGGTTTGGCGACCTGCGGGAGGGAGAGAATGACAAACTGTGACCCCTCAAGTCAGAGCCACTGATACCACCGGCAGCAAGTCAGAATCCCAACCATCGCTTCCCTGGAGTGATCTGCGGTTGGTCTCGGCCAAGCGGCCAAGCGGGCTGAGCCAGGCAGCCTGAGAGGGGCGGGGGGGAGGGGGCATGGGCAAGCCCAGAGGGTTCTCTGTGAGATCACAGGCTTCCCATGTGGGCGACACCATCATTTTTTTACCTGCCTCTGGTGTGATGACCCACTGCCCGGACAACAAGGGAATCGCTGGGAAAAATAGCTAAAGCTGAGATTCTCAAACCACAGTGTGCATGAGAGCTGCCTGGGATGATCCGGAAAATGTACATCTCCAGGTTCCACCCCAGAGACTCCATATGTGGGGGTTGATGTAGAAAAATCATTTGATAAAATGCAATTGCGCGGCTCTTCTTAAAAGAGGCAATCCTCCCTGGTTCACTGGGTAACTGGTTCCTTCCCAATTCCTTAAGGCCAGAGAAGGCGCTCCTTGCCTTGAGTGGCCCGTTTTCTGGGTCCCAGCCCTCACTCCTCGTTTCTCATGCCCTTTTGAAACCAGACAGCCAATGGGTCCGGGCTACCTCTCACTGCTTGAGCCAATCAAGTAGAGACAGGGTTGAATCATATATGAGCGTTTATTCCAATAATTCCAGCAGTAAGGGAGAGCAGCAGGTCACCCACAGAAATCTGCTCTGCAAGCACCCACAAGCCAGCTGCTTATATTGGGTGGGACAAAGATTGCATGTAACTCCTAAGCCTGAGTTTAGGAATCACAGGCGTGGGGATGGAGGCAGTGAGGGCTGGGGCGGGACTCCATTGGGCAACAAGGTTGGTAATCTTTCCATGATACTAGGCAGTTCTTGAATGAAAATGGATCTCATTCCAAAGTTGACTCCCAGGTCCAAGGTTGACTCCCAGGTCCTGAGGCTGTACAACTCCCAGCCCGGTTAGAATGTCCTTTCTTTAATCAGAATGAGGCCACCATGGTTAATAGAGCCTGCTTCATATTTCTTATAACTATAGCTAGTCCCTGTTATTCCATTTCTGCCTTAACACCTGCACAGGTCTTTCCGCCCAGGAAACCCACGCCGGAGGTTTGATCCCCAGGTACGGAGCTTCTCAGGAATTCTAACCATTCTCTCCCCCTCACCCCTCCCCAGGATGACAACATCATGAGGTCCCTCCAGCTGTTCCAAAACGTCATGTAACTGCGGACACAGCCATCCGGCTCTCAGAGACATTGGACTAAACCACCAACCTAACACCTTGATCTGCCCTCCTGGTTTTACACTGACTCTGGGACAGAAACACCTTCTGTACTTGGGAAGAATTCTCCGCCGAAGACTTCCTCTGGAGCCCAGCATCCCGTGGCCCGGTCTCTGATGGCCAGCTCTTCCTCCTCCCTCGTCCTGAGAGAGACAAGATGAAATTGGAAGCATGCTCATCATCTCGTCGCACCGCCGCCCCGGGGAAGGCCCCTCTGCCCGAGCTTAGACTGTACTGCACACGTGTGTGTCTGCTTGCGCGCCCCCACCCTCTGCTTACAGTGCAGCCGACCTCGATGTGTCTGGAAGCAAGGTGACCTGAGCCAAACGCCCTCCGTCCCTTGATGGCCTCCCAAACCAATGTGCCTGTTTCCCTCCCTTGGGTGGGAAGAATGAGCGTTCTTCGGAATGATGTGAGTCTACTGTGACTAGCGTGGGAGGGCCAGCACCTGACCTGCGGAGGGCAGGACTGACTTATTGAGCATGGCATTGTCTGACCACCCAAACCGCCCCTTCCTTTTGTTCCTGGAGGCAAGGACCAGCAATCCTCTCTCACTGGCATCTGTGCTGGTCAGACCCATCCCTTAAGAGCCTGGGAAGGGAGCCGACACCCAGAGGTCCATGTCTCCACTCCATCTCCTGCTACAGCCCAGCTCTGCATGTCCCTGCCAGAAAGCCTGTAAATCACTGTAATTTTGTACCATCTTCTAACCAATAAACAGAAGTATTTCTTACACTCTTGATCCTCACGTCTTCCCTGAGTCCTTGGGGCAGGAGAGGTGAGTTGTGGAAAGCGAAGGCCAGTCCATTCGTTTGCATCTAATCATTAGTACTTACAGGTCCCGAGCAAACATCCAATTCACATGCAGATCCCGGGGCCACGTGCAAATGCATCATCCCGACAGGAAACTCTTCTCTGCACCTCCCTTCCAACAAGCTCGCCCCCACTCTCAAGCCCCTCCCCTGTGGACGGTCAGGAACCTCACGGGTGTGGCTGAGGACATGGAGATAAAGAGGCGGCCAGCACCTCCTGCTGAGGGCTCCCCCACACCCCCCCATCAGCAAAGTGGGTTCCCCCCAGTCCAGAGGCTGAGCAAATGACTTCAGCCTCTGAGCAGCAAATGACGATATTGGTGAACCCGTGGGTCTGGGCCTCCCCAGACCTGAGAGTGGCCTTCTTGGAGGGAAAGCAATTTACGGAGCCTCTACTATGTGCCAGGTGTTGTTGCTCCAGGGGCTTCGTAGACATTATCTTATGTCATGCTCACTGTAGAACTTTCTAGAAGGCAGAGTCCTGGTTTTTACTGGGGAGGACACTAAAGCTCAGAGAGATAAGGAGATGGCCTAAGGTAGCACACAGCTCTATAGAGAGATTAAACTCTCCCCGGTCTTCCGTCCTAAGAGGGGAACTGAGCATACCTCAAACAAATCTCACTCGCCTGTGGTCAGTTCAGGGGCACAGGGGTTCTCTGACGCCAAAGAGCAGATGAGGAAACACGCAGAGCAGGGGAGAGGCTCGGGGGCCAGAGAAGGCCGCCCCGTCTCAGCGTGCGGGAGACACCCCAATCTGATCGCCAGCCCCTCGGCCTCTCCTGGTTGGAACGCAGGGGTTGCAGCTCTGCTTCCCTCTTGGCACTTCCCGGGCGCTGCCACGTGGTCATCTAAGGCTGCGGACACGGGGCCGCCTCCAGCAAGGCGCACACACCGGCCCAAGCAGAGGGCCTGGACTTGGGGCCCTTCCCACCTGGGGTCTGGACCTGCATCAGGAAGGTCTAGGCTGAGGTTCTCCACCCTGGCTGCACATCACCATCACCTGGGGCATAAAAGTGCTAACACCTGGGCCTTCCCTCCCCGAGGCCAATTGACGAGGACACTCTGAGGGTGAGGGCAGGCAGCAGGATGCTTTAAGACAGTGGTTCTCAACCTTGGCTGCACACTAGAATCACCTGGGAATCTTTTTAAAATCCTGATTTCTGGGCCTCATCCTCCAGAAATTCTGTTTCTTTGTGACTAATGTTGTGGCCTCACCCCATAACAATGAAACAGAATTTCCAGAGGACAGGGCCCAGAAATCAGGATTTTAAAAAGATTCCCAGGTGATTCTAATGTGCAGCCAAGGTTGAGAACCACTGCTTTAAGAGCTAAGAGCTGATTGTAAGGTGCATCCTGAGGTAAGATGAGGAAGTGACCACACCCAGGGCTGAGAATGCAGTGTGTGATATGAGCCCTTCCCCTGGTCCCCGCTGTTAAAAAACTGGGTCTGGATCCCAAGGCACAACATCAGTAGCCTTCGTGGGCTGCCTGCTGCTCTGGGACCCAGCCCCACCCCCGCCCCCTCCAGAAGCACTTCACATCAACAAGCCTCTTCATCTAACCACCAGTTCATTCCCCACCAAGTTTCTCCAGCTGCGTCAATCACTCTACCCCCACCAGGAAGCCTGCCACCTCCATCCCCCGCCTTGTCCCAAAGCCCAGTCAAGGCTCCCTCGTCCAGTCTAGTGGGAGCTAGAAACCCCAGTCCTGTTCCACCTCTCCCTCCACGGAACCACATTCATGGGAACAGCTGACACAGGGCAAGGATTCTTGAGGCAAGGGGTTGGAAGTTAAGAGACACCAATCCTGCCCTAACCAGTTTGTCTCAGTGGATAGAGCATCAGCCTGCAGACTGAAGGGTCCCAGGTTCGATTCCTGGTTGCAGGCACGTCCTCAGTAGGGGATGTGCATGAGGCAGCTGATTGATGTTTCTCTCTCATCGATGTTTCTAACTCTCTATCCCTCTCCCTTTCTCGCTGTAAAAAAAAAAAAAATCAATAAAATATATATATATTTTAAAGAGAGTCACCAATCCTCTCACCACCCCCCGCCCCCACTGCCTGCCCAGTCCAAGGGGTCAAAGCCCCTCGCTGATAAAGCTGACACAGAACAGGTGAGTGCTGGGGGAGACGTGGAGAAAGACAGGCTATTGTGGTGACTGAGGGCGGCCGAAGGGTTAAAACGGATGTGGCAGGTGTGCCTCTTAAGCATCCCAACGCACCAAGGCCGCACCAGCTGGGTGTGAGCGGCGGCTGCTGCTCGCCAATGCGCCGCTAGATGGCGTAGGCGCCCCGCCGAATGAGGCGTGGGCCCTGCAGCTGGGACTCTAGGCTGCGCGGGAGTCCCGGGGGTGAGCTGTCTGGGAGGACGTCGCTCCAAACCCAGGTGCTGGCTTCCGGCCACCTGTGCACGCCCAAGTCCCGCACTTCCAAAGGCCCGGCGCCTAGTGTCTGCTCTGCTACCACTGCCTTGAAATCCTTAATAACCTGTGAACAGGGAACCTGCATTTTCCGTTTAACGACTTGCATGCCGTGACTCATTCATCCCAATGAGGTGAGGATATGGTCCCATTTTATAGACCAAGAAACCGAGGCTCCGAGCAAGAGGTGTTGAGACCCGTCCAAGATCACCCGGCCGATTGCTGATGGAGTCCGCTCCACCTGGCATCTATGACGCCAAATGCAGGATCCCTTCCCACCCACACCACGCAGCCCCCCGCCCTGCACCGGCCCAGATGAAGGCCTCTGCCCCCTGCCCAGCGGGCAGCTCCCTCAGGCCTGGGGTGGGGCTGGGATAAAGGGCCCCAGGGCCAGAGCTGTTCCAGGCTCCATTTCTTCTGGGGGTTGAAACATCGTACGGAGCCTGGAGGGAGAGGCAGCCAGCCCAGCCCACGTTGTTAATCCTGGCTTCTTCCTGGACAGCCAGCCAGCCTCGGACGTGGATCACCAGAAGGATGTGCAGGTCAGTGGGGTGTGCAGAATGGGAGGGAGTGAAGGGTCTGGCTGCCCAGGGAGTGTGACAGCCCAGGGCTGGAATCCTGCCCCCCTTCTGCACCACCACCACGCCCTTTCCAGCTGCACGTCCCTAAGCGGAGGGCCCCCCTGAGCCTCCCTTTCATCAAAACTAAAGGGGGAAATTCTCAGGGCTGCTTAAATACTTCAAGTGCCTGGCGAGTCACAGGGACTCAGTAAATAGGCCTTTGTTTACTTTTGGTTTTTGTCACAAAGACAGCTGGGTTATCCTCTCTGGTATCTGCCCCTTAGGGAATGGAACCAGGTGGGAGGAGGTCCCCCAAGAGAGGGTTGGAGGGCCGAGGGCAGGAAACCTGTGAGAAATGTGGTCCAACAGGCCAGACCAGCCACCCAGGGAGCCCAGGGCCTGTGGTCTGGAGAGGGGCCTGCACAGCGTAGAGGTAGAGGTGTAGAGGCGGCGGGAAAGCTGGGGGGAGGGGGAGGCGGCGACGATGGGTCTGGAGAGGGGCCTGCACAGCGTAGAGGTGTAGAGGCAGCGGGGAAAGCTGGGGGGAGGGGGAGGCGGCGACGATGGGGGAAATGGGAGAATGATAACACCCAGACTGCCCCCTTGTGGCCCTCCAACCCTGGCTGGTTCAGAGCCCTTTCCGGGCCTTCCCACTGCTTGATCCTCCTCCCAGCTCCCCTGAGAAGCCAACAGGGGACCAGCCCGTCACCCCAACTTTACAAATGAGTGACGTGTCCAAGGTCAAGAGGGTGACACAAGGACCTGACCCAGTCTTCTAATTTTTTGATTCAGGGCTCCCCTGGGAGGAAGAGCAGAAACGGCAGAACATCCTTCCTTGTTTCTCAATCTGCCAGACCCACAAGACTAGGAGTGGGCGATGGGGTTGGGGCCTGGGACACGGAAAACAAAGATTCCTCTGGTTCCAGGTCCTGTGCCCTCCTCCAAGTTCAGGCTGAGCCAGGAGGAAAGGTTGTCCCGGAGCCCCTCAAGTCAGGCAGGCTTGGGCTGCACCCCCACTGCTGCCACACGCCTGCTGTGTGGCCTCAGGTAAGTGGCACCACCTCCCTGAGCCTGTTTCCTCATTGATAAAGCAGGGATGATAATACTGACACGATTGGAATAGTGTGGGGGAAGGTGAGTGGGGTTTGCAGTTGGGTGGACTGGGTTCAGATTCCGGCCTTGCCCCTGCCCCAGCCAGGCAGCCACCTGCCAGAGTCCAGGCAATTAACCAGGCAACATGGACAATGAAAAGACTCTGAACCGTTCCAAACGGGGATCGTAGAGGCATACGCCTTCCATCCCAGGATCTCAGAACCTTTGAAACGCTCAGCCTGACACCAAAGCGCTGAGTGAAAACCAACCTCAGAGGCAAGGGACAGGCAGTACGAGTTACTGAGATGAGCAGTCACTTTTCTTCTCCGTGACCAACATGTTCCCTGCTGTGTCCTGGGCCTGAGCGGCCACACCTGTAAAGTAACCCCTGGCACAGTGTGAAGTGTTGGGTTGGTTGCAGGCTGAGTGACTGACTCGGGGAAAGCCTGGAAAAAGTGCCTGATGCGCAGTCAGCACTTGGCTATAAAAAGCTGAGTAATAATTATAACACTTAATGTCTCTATAGCATAGTCATTACTACCCGTGCTGTTGATTCTATTCTGTGCGCTCCGTGAAAAGGCTCTGGTGTGATCAATATAATAAAATCTCACCTGTTTGGCCAGGCCTGCAAGGCCCCTCATGGCCCATTTCCCACCTCCCGCCCCTCCACTTGCTGGCACTTCTTCCCAGGAGTCTCTCCCAGCTCCCCTTGTGGTGTTTCCTGCACTCATGGTATCGCACACACTGTCCCTTTTCCTAGAATGTTCTTCCATCAAGTCCATGGGCAAACCTTACTCCAACCTTCAGGACCCCATGTAGCCCTGCCAGTTTTGCTCAGTGGTTAGAGCAATGGCCAT